GAATAGGCTCGAGATGTCCTTCGGCGGGCGCTTGTTCCCATAGTACTGGCTTATGAACCGATCGCACAGGTCTCTGAAACTACCAATGGAGCTCCTAGGCAAGTTTTTGAACCAGCTGAGCGCCGGTTCGGCTAGGCTTGTAGGGAAACATTTGCACATTAAAGAGTCGTTTTCCGTATTCAGGGCCATTTTCAACTAGATATGATACACATGATCGATCGGATCGGTCGTTCCGTCGAACAGAATAAAGACTGGCATAGCAAACTTCCTTAGATGCGGGGCATTCAAGATCTCGTCGGTGAATGGTGAATCCACCGTCCGAGCTGCGGATCGGAGAGCTTCATTCTCTCTCTGGAGTCCAGCGGTAGCTCTGTGAGTTACGGTTCTGCCCTCCGAACCGTGATGAGTGATAATAACCATGGAGGGCCGGTAAGACGGATCGAACGACCGTTCCTCTATGAACTCTCTTTGCCAAGGCGACGCTACTCGACGGCGATCAACCTCCATCACTTCCTCTCGGTCGAACCTTTCCCGATGCGGATCAACGTGAGTCGATCCTTCGTGATCTTCAACTCGACGAACATTTGGCGGCAAATTGTCCATCATCCTTTCATCACGGTGGTGAGCTGACTGATTGTTCTCGTCCTGTTCGCCTTGATGCACGATATTAGATTGAACACCTCCTTCTCCGACCGGAAGTGGATGCGAAACCGCAGGTATTTGCCGATGTTGCATTCCAGCTTTCAATTCTGCATTCTCTTTTTTGAGAGCTTCAATCAAGTTCATCAACTCCTCAAGCTTTGTTTGCTGGACAGCCTCCATCGGATTGGAGCTTTCACCTATCATTATTCCCGAACGGAGTAAAGGCATTAATCTCAAGTTCGCAAGTAGATCCGAGCTTCGTGAGTAGGAATTTTTAGATCTGGCTTCTAATTCTCCGAATTATGCTCACTGTTTACGAGATCTGAATTGTCTAAACTCTAAATCCGTCAGATCCTGCCACAATCGAACAACTCGTTGTTGCGTAGATCTGAAGTCACTCCTGCCAAAGCTTCAAGAATTGTAATTCCTCCAGAGTAGGTCACAATCGCTCAGATCTGGATCCAAATCCCAAAGATCGAGTCTCGATCAACCGAATTGGTTTGAATCCACTCGATATTCCTCATTGATCAACCAAACTTCCATGTCCTTCCCACAGACGGCGCCAATTGAAGATGCAAGAAATTCGTTCCCCTCTTTCTCTCTCTAGAATTCTTACACCTCAACCAAAAAGATCCCCCTCCTCTTTATTCCTTATCCTATTTATAGATATTTTCAAGATATTTACAAGATATTTACTGATTGCTGGATCTGGGCCTATTCCTCCATAAGTCCTGGTCACCTTTGATGGGCTTACTCGCGTTCGGCCCATATGGCAGTGTCTTTATATGGGCCGACCCAGCTGTACGGACTGAATGTAGTGTTTGCAAGTCGGATCCGGCCCATGTCGTCCGGGGCCTCCTCAGATGGTATGTGGTTGATGTACCAAGAATGTACTGTGTTGGGGAATAATGAATGGATGAATGAATTGTTGGAATGTGTTATATTACATTGCTTTAGGATAGGGTAGATAAATTTTAAGGTCCAAGTTAGGCCATTGTATATTTCTTATATTTTTGCAGCAAATTGTAGTAGGACTTTTCAGCAGAGTTCATGCCAAATTTTTGGGTTGTTACAATATGGCTAATCTTTATATCGAAAATTTAATATGATCTTAAATTATTTTTAGATTAAATTACTCTTACACAAGAAGAAGTTTAAAGACTTTTTATAGATTTTTAATAAATTACAAAAAAAAAAATTTAAAAATTAATTCTCTTAAATGCTAGCATACAATAAGTTAAGATTTAACAAAAAAAAAAAAAAAAAAAAAAAAAAAAAAAAAAAAAAAAAAAAAAAGTTGAAAAGAAAAAATGTAATCATAGTTTAAATTGTATATATAATGTATTTAAAAGTAAGGAAAATGATAAGAGAATCGAACCAAACAATGGAATAAAATGTCGAATTTAAAGTGGTTCAACCACGTCAGATTATTTTTTAAAAAGATAACTCTTACCTCTTCCCTTCTCTCTCCTCTCTTCATCTAATTCTCGATTTTTCTTTTGTATCCAATATTATCTTTGATTTTGGTTTTGTCTCTCTTTTGATTTCGTAAAATTGAAGATAAAATAAAAAAAATTAAATTTCTTCATGTTTTGCAAATACAAAATCACAAAATCAAAACAAAACAAAAAAGAAAAAGAAAAAAGAAAATAAAAGTTACAACTGTTGTTTCTCTCCTTCAGATTTTGTATTCATAAAAATCAAATAGAAACTTTGAAAAGATTCATCCGTTTCTCTTCTCTGGATTAATGACAACTCTTGTGTGGATATTTACTTACCCAAAAAAAAAAAAATTCTGCACAGTTTTCATCTGGAATTGGAAAGATTTATGAATAGAGAAAAGTAGGTAATCTTGAAAAAAGAGCTAAGGATAAAGAATTTTCAATCTTGTCTCTAGAATACTTCCGATATGTGTATCTCAAGAGAGGAGATGTATAAGAAGAATTGGTGAAGAACCAAACACAGAGAGGAGAAAGAACGAAGAGGAGGAGAGAGAAAAAGGAAAAACTGGGAAAGAAAAGATCGATGATAATGAAATTATTTGACGTGGACAAAGCCACGTAAGATTCGATGTTTATTTCGGTAAAAACGTTCGGTTTCTCTATCACTGCTCTAAAAGTAACTATATACGTGAAAATAATATTAAAATTCGAGTTCGGGTTGGCTCGGGTTGTTAGCACTTCAATCCAAGCCCAACCCTAATTAAATTCGAGTTAAGATTTTTCAATCCAAGCCCAGCCTTAATTATAAAATTGATTGCCTAAACCCAAGAAAAATCGGGTTGGGTTCGGGTTACCCAACTCAAGTTGCACCCCTAATTTTAACACTTAAAATTCTTTTGCCATTAAAAGTTTTTATATTTTTTTAACGCTAACACATTAGTCGAAAATTAAATAAATGTAATAACTTCTGCTTCTCTTTTCTCTTTTCTCTTTTCTCTTTTCTCTTTTCTTCTTCTTTTTTATTTTTATTTTTTATTTTTTTATTTGTTTGTTCGTAAAAGAAAAAGCAAAGGTTATCTAAAGTCACTTTTGTGTTGAGCTTTAGCTTTTGCTTTTTGCATTAGAGCATCTTTGTGATAGCTTTTCTATTTCTTTTTATTTTTCGATAGCTTTTCTCTTCAGCTTAAAATGGTATCCAATGGTGTGTGCAATTCTCAATCAATTTGAGGTTTTTATTTTCAACAGAACAGATCAGAATCTGGAACGGAAAGTTTGGGTTGAATCGGCTCGGCCGAACCCTTCACCACACAAAATTTCATCACACAATTCATTCAAAGAGGCCCATAATTTGCAATTTGGGAGGGAATTTGTACAAAATTCCCTAATTCAATTTTTGCAATTCCCAAATTTATTTTCCTAATTTGCGATTTCTATGCGAATTCACTTTACATAGCTAAATTTGTTATAGTTAATATGAAACACTTATATTACCATATATGTATTTATTATTTACACTATTCCTCAATATATACATTAATTATGGCATTATTATACTACCATATATATATATATATATATATATATATATAAATTATACATTTGAAAACATACCACTAAAAAACTTCCCAATTAAAAAATATTACAAATAAATCATGTATCTATTAACTAGAAAAATTAACTTATTTATTACATATGTCATTAATGGAATAAATAATAATAAATATATTTACATATTGATTTAAATAAATAAAAATATGTAAAATATATATGTCATTACTTGATATAATTTTATTGACAATACTTAGATAGTAATAAGAATTTACACCATAATCATATAAATCAATAATAAATAAACACATCTAATTTTAATTACCAAATCATAAAATCAGTATCTTATTCTTATGCACAGATGTGTTACCTTTGGCCAAATTTTAGATCCAACCCACCAACCTTACCCCACAATCCTGCTTGGTTCAGAAGTGAGGTGCATTTACCGTATGGTGGAGAAATGTAATATCATGAGAAATTTCAATCCATGCACCTCACATCATTATTGCCACTACCATCTTTAAATTTAGAAATTCGAGTGGAGAGTGTCCTTTACACTATTCATTTTAAATATATATATATATTATGTGTTGCGTAATAATTTAATTAGTTATTTTTTAAAGAGCCGTAGTCAATAAAATTAGTCATAATCGATAAAATGTATTTTTATTTTATTTGGTTATTTGTTAGAAAATATGTATAATGTAATTTTATTTATTTCTTTTAAAAATGTCATCCGAAAAAACATAAATAAATAATTAATTTTTTTAATAAATAAATTAAAAATAATAAAATAAATAACAAAAGACTGAACTGCACAACAGAATACTCCGTAAATGATTATCCAAATAAAGTAGATTGCACAATTACTAATTCGGTTCGCCATTTTTCAAAAAAGTCATTTCATAAATAATCTATTTAAAATATTTTAAAACAGAACTATACTTGCTAATTAAATAGTTAAAGGTGACAGTTCAGCCTGAAAAAAAAGAAGAAAAAAAAAGGTTAAAATAGAAAGAATATAAAAGTTTGGTTACAGCCTATAATTTACTATAAATGAATTTTAATTTTACGTAACTTTGCACCAACCCTTCACTAATACTCGTAGAATTGTGCATATTCACGCGTATCCGAATTTAGTATGAAAAATTATATTTTATTTTAACATCACTAATAACAAATCAACCACTTACAAAGCATAAGTGATTGAATAGTGTGCATATCCGAAGTGTGTTAAAAAAAAAAAAAAAAAAAAGTCTATATGGAGTAATGTTACCGGACTTTCTATTTTACTTACGAAACATACAGTTACAAATAGAGTTGTTAAATCTCCGAGGTTGAAACATATCTGGTCCACGTGTGCCGTGTGCGTCACTGTGCGTAATATTTTCACAATTTGTGTTCCCGTCCTTCGCCAGTGTCTTTTTGGGCCGGTGAAGAGAGAAGATTTGACAGTAGAAGAAAAAGATACAGAAAGCGCTTTCCTTCACCTCTTAAATCTCTGGTATCTTTATCTAATTGACCCTTTTTTTTTTTTTTACTTCTTCTCACTACCTAATAAGGGTTTTACGTATCCTTCAATTCAGTTTAATTCTGTGATCTGGTTAGTCCTCACATGGGTTTTATCTTTTCAACCATAAAATTGTTGCGTTTCATTTAAATTTGGAAGAATTTTGTTTGATTAACTTTTATGAGATGCTAACAGAAAGCAAACCCTTTGTTCGTTTGCTGAGAAAATAGAGGAAATTGAAATATAATTCATTTTTGACTCATATGTATCATGTCTTTCTGGAATCCAAAAATTGAAAGTGTCGGTACAATTATACCTGATTAATGTATTAGGTTTAGTGGAGTGGAGTAGGGATCTCCATTTTTTTTCCCTCTTTTTCTTTAGGGTTTCTCGATTCCCCAACAATGCGAATTCATGTAATCGAATGAATTTAGTCCCTTTCTTCCTACATTTTCTTGGCAACCAAACAGATTATTAGGAGAAAAAATATGGCTTGCTTTGATTTTCAATCTGTTGTAAAATTCTAAAGATCATAAACCTATATAATTTTTTCCCCTTTCTGCCTGTTCAGTAACATTTAATTGCTTTGTAACTTATCCAAAAACATTTTTAATTGCTTTGTAGGTCTTTTAGGTGGAAACCAGAGATGGATAATGTTTTGGGGCCAGATTTGATCAGTGATCTGCCTCAAAGCATTATAGAGATCATCCTGACAAAGCTTCCGATAAGGGATGCTGTAAGGACTAGCATCTTGTCAAGCAAATGGAGGTATAGATGGGCTACCCTAACACATCTTGTTTTTGATGACAAATGTGTGACACTCTCTCATGATAAAGCACTTGTTGAGAACAACGTCGCCAAATTTATAACTCGATTACTTTTTCTTCATAATGGACCGATTCACAAGTTCATGTTATCTACTTCTTACTTGCAAAGCTCACCTGATATGGATCAATGGCTACTTTTTCTTTCAAGGAAAGATATTAAAGAATTAGTTCTAGAATTAGGAGAGGGTGAGTGGTTTAGGGCACCCTCTTGTCTTTTTGCTTGTCGAAAATTGACTCGTTTGGAGCTAGTTCGTTGTGAACTGGACCTTCCTCCAACTTTTAAGGGATTCATGTGTTTGAAGTACCTCAATCTTCAACAAGTTTTAATTGCCCCTGACGCCATTGAATGTCTTATTTCTAGTTGCCCTCTTCTTGAGAGTTTAACATTATCTTATTTTGATAGTTTAGCTCTTACCATCCATGCGCCAAATCTCAAATACTTATGTCTGGAAGGTGAATTTAAAGATATATGTCTTGAGAATACCCCGCATTTGGTTGCTATATCTATTGCTATGTATATGACTGATGATATTGCGGAACATTTTGAACAAAGCTCAAGTTGCAATTTTGACAAGTTTCTTGGTGGCGTATCATGTCTTGAGAGGCTCATTGGGCATATATATTTCACAAAGGTAAGCTGTTATCATATTTCCATTTGGTTTTTGAGCAAGGAAACTGGCTAAACATATTAGTTTGTTCTTTTCTCTCTCTCTCTCTCTTTTTTTTTTTTTGTCATTTTGTTTTGAATATGTATAAGGAACTCACTATGAAGATTTCTGTTTGTTTATATTACCAAACCATTTTCTTATGTTATTCTTTCTGTTCTTAGTATTTGAGTATAGGTAACAGTGACCTAGGAAAACTTCCAATTACATATCACCGTCTAAAGCTTATTGAATTATATCAAGTAAGTTTTGAAGACATGAAAGAGATACTGGTCGTTCTTCGCCTGATTGTGAATTCCCCAAATTTGCAAGAACTTCATATTTCGGTTAGTAACAGTACACATGTTGGGATTCATATTCCAAGTTATGGTGTGCATTTTACTTTGTTCATTTTTGTATGTTTTCATATCTTCAGATATTTAGATTAGCACAAAATTGTAATTTTTCCCCATTGGTCTAAATAGGGCTCTTCAAACTCAATAGTTGCCGCAGAAGCTCCTGATTTGGATTTTTGGGAGAGCGAAAGCCTGTCTGACTCTGGCTTCACATTTGGGAAACTTAAAATTGCAAAGATTACAGATATGTCTGGTGTGCCGCATGAGATGGAATTTATCAAATTTATACTTGGCAAATCACCAGTGCTCGAAATAATGAGCGTTGCTCCCGGTGTATATGTTACAGATGGAAGATTAAATATGTTGATAGAATTGGTGAGGTTTCGAAGGGCATCTGCAAAAGCTGAAATCATATTCATTCAAGATTAAAGATAAAGTGCAGTTCTTGTGTAAAATCTCTTTCCTATCTCATTTTTTCCTTTTTCTTTTTATTTTTCTTTTTCTTTTGGCTGAGTGTGAAGGTTCCCCATTGCATTTGTTTCTGCCTGGGCATTGTAAAAGTTATAGTGATATTACGAGTGATATTAGTAATAATATGATTTACAAATTCATACTCCATCATTCGAAAGTGCTAAATAAAATTAGCAAAGAATTTTACTTATCAAAAAAATTTAGCAAAGAATTTGCCAGTTCCATTAGGTCACTGACGATATATCTCGCTTGACCAATGCTGAAGGATAGGATAGCTGCGTCCAGGAGAACTAGCAGAAAAAGACTAGGAAAATTTCCTAGCCTTCTCTTCTCTATAATACTTAAATCTGTTCAAACTAGAAAATCACCATTTTTTCTCTTTTGTTGAAATATTTGAGGATGCTATGCCGTACCCTTTTCTGTTGGACGATTAGGAAACTGTCATTCCGGAAAAATTACATAGGCAGCTCTGGAATCCTTAAATTTGAACTGCTCGTGTTAGCATAATAACCTTTTAATAGGAAGAGGTGGACCTATTTTTAGGAAGAAGTTTGTTCATGACATCATAAACAATACTCTTTTGAGTTATATTGCTGGTGAGTTAAGTTTTGTTGCTATTCTGGAACTTCCCATGTATGATTTGGATTGGATTAGCCCTCATTTAGAATGAAAAGTAAACAATATCATAGTAGAATGTTGAACAACATGCTTTGAAGCCAATTGTTGGGATCAGTAGTTTAGTAATTGAGTAATTGTTGACCCTACTTACCATCCATGTTTATCCTGGTTAAGAACTCAAAAGTCTGCAGTTATTTTATCTGAAGTATTAAATCCATATATGAAACAGAGTTTTCCATCAGCAGCAAGATTGAGCAGATTGTAATTCAGAAGCATGTTCAATTTGTCAGACCCCTACGAGTATTCGAATAAATAGGAATCATGTAGGTAACAGGAAATAGTTGGGACATACGTTATCAACTTGAGTTAAAGCTTCATTGGAGCTGAACATTTTCCGAGAAGACTGCTGTAAATCGCTCTAAGATTAGTCCCGCAATAGTTGTTCTAAGTCGAGGGATAGGCATAAGTCGAAGCATGGGTAGGTATCCCGTGCCTTGGTCAGCTAAGGATTGACACCTTCTGTGGGCAAGACTTGGTGTGGTACATGGGTTTAGGCGTGGCCAAGGCCTTGGATTTATTCATACACAAGCTATATGAGCTGGTATTGTGGCCACCCTTGTGTGCCACTCTTTGTGGGCGTTCCTCGAATGCTATCGGTCGCTTGTGTTTATGATGTCTTCGCATTGTGGGCACGGTCGATGGTGGTTGATGGGTTGAGAATGTCTCGTGACAGACACCATGTGGCACTCATCTGCCACCCCGTCATGCGCATTTGACACAGAGCAGTTAAAGTTTGATTGTTGGTTAGTTCTTTGCTTAGTTGCCTTCCCTAGCAGGTTGGGATGTCCAACTGCTATTTGGTGGCATTTTTTGAATTAACACGGCACACCCTAAAAGTTGGGTTGTCAACTGGGTTGCGTCTTGTCCAAACGTAGGGGTGGCGAATGGGCGGATTGGGTCGGGTTTGAATTGTGTTGAAAATAGACGGGTTAACCCATATTCAATTCGTTTAGAACGGGTTAAAAATGGACAAGATCAACCCGTTATGATCAGGAATCCATTAATTACTTTTTTATTTTTAAATTTTTTTATTTTTTTTTTAATTTTAAATTTTTAAATTTTTTTATTAAATGTTAACATGATTTAACATATATTATATGTTTGATTATTCATCATATGTGTTTTAAGAAAACGTAACTTAATTATTTCAAAAATAAAATAAAACTTAAATGTGGAGGTAATATACATTTATATTAAGAGGTACAAATAAAACACATTACATTAGAGTGCCGCATGAATTTTCGATCTAATATATTTGGGTTATTAGTTTACAATGCAAAGAACTTGCATTCCATGTCCTTTAGTTTATTCATTTATATTTACGAGCTTTAGTTGTTACATCAATTGTTTTAAAAAAATTTCATTTTTTAACGAGGCCTACCCTGTTGCTTCTAAACCAACTCTAGAAGCAATTTTTAAAACAAAACAAATAATTATATAATCACAACAAAATAATGCGCCCTTACATGTTACTGCTATCAAGAATTAGGGAACTTCATTTCAAATATTTCCTTTGAATTTCTAATTTCACAAGCCATTATATTATCTTATTTGTAACTATAAAGCCCCTCGACAATATCCATCAAAAAACAAATAAAGGAACAAGCCAAATCAAATTAACAAACCAACCTCAAAAAAATAAAAAATAAAAAAAATAATAATCCCTCAACTTGTACACAATTGCGGAACCACTGGAAATTAGTCACCTGGAACGGCAAGGATAGTGGCCTTGAGTTTGCTTGGATCCATCCGTACCATTATTAACAAGGCTTACATCAATTGGTATATTCATGCAATAAAAAAATAAATTATTTTATTATTTTTTAAATTTTTTAATTATTTTTTATTTTTAAATTATTTTTTTCGGAAGGTTTTAAAAAAAATTATTTTTTATTTTTTAAAATTATTTATTTTTTTTAGAAGAAGTTTCTAGAGAGAAACTTAAAGAGGGGATTGATAAGAAACAAATTTAGAAAAAGAGGATTGTGAGTGAGAGAATTTTAAAGAGAGAAATGAGTTGAATGCAATATAGAATAGATGTGTGTTTATTATGTGATGGGTAAAATATAGGTTGAATATGATTCAACCCATCTTTGACCCTCAAATTAAATAGTGTTGTGAGTTGGTTTTGGTCTGTTTGCTTTATATACTGCTACGCTGGGATGTTTGGGCAGACATTGGATGGTGAGTTTGCCCAAGTGCCAGATTACTTTGTGTAGATCTTAGTAATATAGGTTGTGCGGTGTGTTTGGCTGAGATTTGGTGTGAGCGAGGTGTGTTTGGCTGAGACTTGCTGTCATTTCAAAGAAAAAAGGTCGGTGAACAGACCACTAACAAACATTAAATTATTTTATTTTAATTTTTTTCTTACAAACTGTCTCATGAAAAAATGACAATTTCATTCAAATTCTTTAATTTCATTCATATTTTTTTAAAACTCTTTCACTTTCTATTTTAAAAGGTCAAATTCTTTAATTTCATTCATATTTTTTTAAAACTCTTTCACTTTCTATTTTAAAAGGTGACGAAACAACCTTCACTTTCTATTTTGAAAGGTGAAGAAATAACCTTCACTTTCGACAACTTACTGAAATAAATAGTGGATAATATTATCAACAGTAAACCCCAACTAATAGAGGTCAGATATTCAAAATAAGTACAACTAAGAGAAATTAGTGGTTAAATAAGATAAACATTTCAACTCAAATAATCAATTCTTTTGCTCATTGTTTTGACGAAAAAATATAAGTACAATATTTTTTTTATTTTTTTTTTATTTTTTTTGGTGTTTGACAAATGTACTCCTTTACCGCTAAACATGATCTTCCAATTTTGGATTTAACCAGAGAAACTAAAACAAAACATAGGAATCTAAAGAAAGCGAAGTGCATAAACGGGCAAAAATTTAGCACAAACATAAATATATTTTATCATAAGGACTCGGATGCACCAAACACCTGAAAGGAATCCACCAATCGACACAACAAATTCAGATATAAAACCAAGCTGACAATATGGGTATTGAACCCAGCTTATTAAGAATAAACAACACCGGCTAAAGAGACAAATCATCTCACTAGACTAGACGACACCAGATAGACAATATTGTAGATAATGCAGAGAAGATAAAATAAACGCTACTCCTTTTCTTCTTCCTCCTCTTCCTCTCTCCAGCAACCTTTCAGAATAGATCTAGGAGATCCACATTCTGAACTCTTGACGAATTTCTGGTAAACAATTGCACCACCAATTCCGAGCTCTTCACTGCTCCTCCCACCAAGGGAATAACCCTTTAAACCCAGGTAGCAAATCTGTTCAAGCACCTTACCAGCAACATCAGCGTGCAAGGACAGGGAAAACTCACTTGGCTGAAAACATGCCAACACCCTCCCAACCAGATAATCTAGGTTAACGACTTTCGGATCATATCCAACCGATTCAAAGCTTGCATAGCTGAAACCATCCTCCGGTGTAACGTGAATGGTAGAAATGGCGGATCCTTCGACAGAGTTCATGGAATAACCGCAAGGATCAAACTCAAAATCACATATCTCAGAATCTGGCAGAATCTTTCTTATACCAGAATTGACGGTCATGACAGCTGCTGACCCTGATTGGCTTTTGTAGAAAACAGAAGCCTTCTGCCTGTCCAAACCAGTCATACACATCTCCATTGTGTAAATGGGATCATCAAGAGAGCAAGGAGATCCAGCTGAAGCAGAGTATACATGCCATTTTTGCGTTTTGTCAGAGCTCCCCATTACATAAGCTTTGCTGCTTGACCCAAGCTTCCCAAAATAACCATCAAGGACAGCAACTTCTTCGGAGAAGTTGCGATGAGGATAGGACTGAGCACCAGGAAAAATGAAGCTCCCACGAGTGTACCTCACACATCGTACTGTGAGGGAAAGGCCGTCAGCCAGATTCAGAATGGCTGGAATGGATAAGAGCAACTTTGTTGTCCCACAAGTTTTGATGATGATCTTGTAAGGGAAAACAAAAAGGCTAGACTCAGAGAGGACATAAGAATCAAGATGCTCATTTGACAGTGAAGAAACTATAGTGCACTCAGCTGGTCCAAGAAACTCATCCAACTGAGCTTTGGCAAGAGAACGTAGACCCTTTCCCTCAGGATCAACAAAGATGCTTGGCTCAAAAAACGAAATTTCAAGCCTCTTTTCATAACCCTCAAATCCTATTGCAGAGAGGGCCATATTGACTAAAAGAAATTAACACTACTACGAAGTAATGAAACAAGAGAAATGAAGCAAGAGTGCGGTCGATTGGGGAAGAAAAGGAGTAGAAAAAAAGTGAAATACTATTTTAAAAAAAAAACAAAGCAGTAAATTAACCACGTCAACCGACGTGGTCAGGGAACCAACGTAGGAATATCAGGATGGTTTGCGAGCGCACTGCACAATGGAAAGAAAAAAATATTAGTGTTGTTGCCAGAGATCCTACATAATCATTCTCAAGCGAAACTAAAAATTAGAAGTATAAGAATTAGTGACAGGAATAAGTAAAATATCAGGCAGATACTTACGTTGGAGTAAGCAGCAGATCTGAACTTCTTGATTCCACCGTTGGGTCGAATGTCTTCAATGCTGTATCCGAGGGGAGCTTCGTAGAACATAGATTTACTACTACTACTACTAGACTTCTTCTTTCCTCCTTTTGACTCCATTAGAACATTCAGTTTTGCCTAAACAGATCAAACAAAGTTGCTGAATGAGAACGACCTTCAGATAATAACAAAATATTGTGATGAAATAACGTAACTGAGATAAGATTATTGTAATCCAAACAGCATAGTAACCATGCAATGCCATTTTTGCAAGACATTACTAACAAATAGTAAAAAGCAATATTAAGCAAAAACTGAGAAGGGGTCACACATTACAAATGGTTTCAAAATGAAATGATACACGAAACAATAAGTGAACTCCTTTCAGTATGATGTTATAAACAACTAATATGCTGTAACAATACCACTTAAAACACCCAAAAAAATGTACTTTAATCAGACAAAGAAGATAAAAAAAGTAAATATTACCAAAAATGATTATAATTACTCTTCAAAGACGGATGGGGGATCGCTTGAAAGTGAATCATAGAGTTCAATACTTCAAAAACATGACACACACACAACCACCACAAAACGAGAGGACCTCCCAGTCAAATTTCTAGAACCAAATCTGACGATTGAAACATTTGTTATACATATACATTTAATTCTTATTGGTTCATCTTCAAGAAATAAAAATAATAAAATCAAAAACACAATAAAAAGGGGCTCAAATCCAATTTATCTTTCTACTTAAAGTTACCCTATAGTTTCTTTTCCTCCTCTACCCCCTCTTGGTCATACATACAAGCTATTAAATCTTTTCTTCTCATCCCGTTCTTTCCTTTTTGAAACTAGATATCACTCAATTTTATATTTCGAGAACATAATTTAACATCAGATGGAGTCATCTTCATACTTCACATAGATCACAAAAGGAAATTTCAAAACCAAACTTCCCTAAAAAACTTTCAAAGACATAATCCAAATCTCCAAGAAGAACCAAAATAAATCAAGTCTATATTTATGTACCGAGCCCACTACGCATTAAGGAAATTACAACTATAATTGATTGATAAAAAAAGAACAAACCAGATATAACATATTAAATAAATATAAATCAAGACCTTGTATCCCTAGAAATCAAGACCTAACTTTAACAGCATAGATCGTCAAAACAAAAACTACAAACAATGGACAAACACCTAATTCAATTTTCATTATAACAACGTAAAAAATATACAAAAGCAACGTAAGAAAACATTAAACGAGAACCGACAATAAGAAAATCTAAATCCAACATGAAATTCTTATTCAACAAGAAACATAGATCAACAACACTTACAAAGATTAAATTCGAGTTTTAAGATACAATCTTCAAATATGAACAAGATCCACCACCAACAGATCCTATAAATTACAAAAATAACAAGGGTCAGAAAACACTAGAGGCAATCAAAATTAAGTCTATACATATACGTATATACAGATTCAGAGATTCAACGTCATACTTACAGATATAACTATGGAGGTAATTACGCGAAAACAATTGAAACCCTAGAAATTTGATTCGAAACAAGATGAGAATTTCCGGCGGCGTTGTTTTCTGGCCTTAAGAATAATATTCTTTTTCTTTTTCTTTTTCTTTTTTCGGTTGGTGATAGAATGAGATAATTTATAGGCGTCTTGAGGGTTGTTGTTGAAGATTTGCCTATAGTTTTTACTAAAATTACGGTCAAAACCAATTGCAGTTTCGTACGAGTTTCTCGTCCGATAGTTAAAGACTAAACTACCCTCATGTCGTGTGGATAGTCGGAAAGGTGTGTAGTGTGACGTGTGGGTTTGTTCGGTACGTAATTCATTTCTTAATCAAAGTTATCTTATCACACGTTTTTCTTCATAAAGTAACATTTTGAATACTTTTGATTCTCTCTCCCATTCCAAGTTTGGATTTTCTTTCGCCCTAAGTTTGGATTTTCTTTCTTCAATAGAATACATTAAAAGCGTTGAATAGAGTAGGTGTTCTACAGTGATTACATGGTCCAATAATAAATACCCATATGTTTGGGAAATTTGTGACTAGCATGACACCCAGTAATTTTAATTCTCTCACCCTAAGTCTGGATTTTCTTTCTCCCTAAGTCTGGATTTTCTTTCTTCAATAGAAAATTACGTTAAAAATATTATTATCTTGTATTTTAAAATGTAGTAGGTATTCTCTAATGACAGCTGATATGATCCAATCATAAATACACACATCATTTATAATTACAAAATCAAAAAAACAATAAATAAAAAAAACAGACTTCTATAGTACAATTATAAATGGGCAATACTTAGGTCTCACTAGTGAGAATCTATAACATAGTTACTATTGATGTGGACCAATAATAAATAGATACATCCTATTTTAATTACCAAATTATAATTCAATCACAATCTCTGATTTGGTAGGTGAATATCTAACATATTTAATTTCACATGTCCATTCATTAACAAATGAATACATCCTATTTTAATTACCATATTATAATCAAATCACAATATCTGATTTGGTAGGTGAATATCTACCATATTTAATTTATTATTAGCCCACGCGGTAAATATGTTGTAAATCCTCACAGGGACCATCATAAATTAGAAAAGACTTGCCTAATTATATAGTCAGCAATTATAAATGCACGATTAAGAAAGTGATAAATAGGAAAATCAGAAAGGGTGACAAAATTTATTCAAAAAAATAAAATAAATTATTATTATTATTATTATTATTATTATTATTATTTATTACCTTCCTTATTTATAATCATAGAGTATTTGTGATTGAATCATATGGGTGAGCAAAGTCACCAATGAGTGAGTAAGTCTTTCTTTTTCTTTTTTTATGGGTTTTGTTTGTCACTAGCTGATGTGGACATGGAACTCTTGGCATTCTTTTTTCTTTGGTTCTCTCAATTCTTAATTTTCATTTTTTTTTAAATTTTTAATTTGTTCTTAAAAATAATTATTCAAACATGTCTAGTATTTTTTGTCAATTGAATTCTTTTCAATTTATAAATTGTAATTGTACATAATTACTATATTTTCTAAAAACATATCATATTATAGCAAAAGGTTGAATGTTTACATAATTTTAAACTAATATGGTAGTAATTATTTAACCAAATATAGACTTATGATCTTATAAAAAATGGATATAACTTCGTGATGATGATAAATTTAAAAGGGTCAGAATTGTATTTAATTTCTAAAAATACTATTTTTAAATTTAGTGATAAACTCCTGCCGACCACCAATTCAATCCTAAGATAATCAAAGATTCCAATTGTGTGACAGAGAGGGAGAGAGAGAAGGGTAGTTTAGGTATTAAGGCTCTTAGCGTTTTATTATGGCTATGATAAAAAGACAGAAAGGAGATTCGCGGGAAAAAGCCGTTGTCAAAATCTGTGTGGGCCATGGGATGCCCGAAAAGATGTGGCCATGCTTGGCTGGTTTCAACTTTCAGACTTGAGCGGCCACCAATGGCCCATTTCGAATCTGATTCGCTTTGTATAGCTGTATTTTCTTGTCTCTTTTTTTATTACTTTTATACCCTTTTTTGAAAGGTCATCACTCACGTTATCTCCTTTATTTTTGTCATCAATTCACATTGGGGTTCGTAACATGTGACAACTCGGAAACCAATCAAACCGCAAATTATGATCACACCAGTACTAGAAGTGACGGAGGGCCAAACAGGAGTCAAGTACGTCTACGTTGGGGTCAATCAATAATTAGTAATTAATTTTACATTCCAATCAAATAATTTGTGACTTTAGACTGGTGGGATTACTTTTGTTGACTAGATAGACTCCACTCCCCACCACTACATCTTGGTTGCGGTTGGATTCAAAGCACCATAATGCTTCCTCTTTGTCATTTCTGTTTGTTCAATAATAAAAAATAAATTCACAAATTACTAAATTCTTTAATGATGTGTTTGTTTGGAGGAAGGAATAAAATAATTCCTCGTATTTAGGTTAGGGGGAAGAAAATATAGGGAGAAATCAAGAAAATCATCCCTCCTACATTTGTATTTTTCTGTCCTTCCAAAATTGGAGGAAGAGGTGAGATAAACAAATTAAAAAAACATATTATTTTTCTACCTTAAAATTTTTTTTATCTAATTATTAGTTTAAGATAAACAAATTAAAAAATAATAATTTGTTTATCTCACCACTTCCTCCCAATTTTGGAAGGACAGAAAAATACAAATGAATCCCTCCTTCTTTCCTCTCTATCTTCTTTCCCCTCTATCTTTCCTTCCTTCTAACTAAAATGAGGAATTATTTTATCCCTTCCTCCAAACAAACATTTTTATCTTTTATGTCCCACCCATATTGACTCATGTATTCCATTATCATTTCTATCTTTTATGTCCTCTCTACTTTATTATTTTTATCTTTCCTTCACCCTTCTTCACCTAACAAAGTATAAAAATAAATGAGTGTGAAAGTATATTTATTGCCAAACTATAAAATACACACATATATATATATAAATAGTTCTCGTCTCAAAAAAGATTTTTGAATATATATGATTACTCAATAGTAAGGTGGCAAATGAGCAGGTTTGGGTTGGGTTGGATTGAAAATGGGTGGGTCAAATATGAGTTAAGACTCATATTCAACCCATTCAGAACAGTTTGAAAATAGACGAGTCAAAAATATGTAGGGTCAACCCATGAACCAATTAATTATTATTATTTTTTTAAAAATTATTTTTTTTCCCATAAGGTTTTAAAATTTTATTTAATAACAAATAAAAATAATAATTTCAAACTCAGCAATATTTATCGATTCGTTTGAGAGAGAGGGAAGTGAAGGAAAGAAAAGAAATATTGATGTTTTAAAAATAAAATTTTTTTAATGATGTTTACAAACATGGAAAACTAAAATGTAATTTGCATATTTGAAAGAAAAAAAAAAAAAAAAAAAAAACCTGGCCGACCCGCCCAAAATATTGATGTTTAAAAAATAAAATTTTCTTAAAAATTTTTATGTTTACAAACATGGAAAAGGAAAATGTAATTTTTATATTACAAAATATTGATGTTTTAAAAAAAAAAATTTCTTAAAAAATTTGATATTTACAAACTTGGAAAACGAAAATGCAATTTGTATATTTGTAAAGAATAAAAATAAAAAATAAAAAAACCAGTGAAACTCGACTGACCCGCCCAAAATATTAATGAGAGACAAATTTAAAAAAAGAGAATTTTAGATAAAGAAATGAATAGAGTGTAATATAGAATAGATGTGTATTGTGTATCTATTATGTGATTAGTGAAATATGAATTGAACCCATCTTGACTTTCAAATTAAGTGGTTAAAAATTAACCAACTCATTTTTGACCCATCATAAATATGATACACCCAAAATTATTAAAAAGTGAGCGAATTGATGGGTTGTGAATCATTTTGTCACCCCTACCCAATAGTTACTATTAAAAATCACTATTTGAACAATCACAAGTTTTATCTCTTTTATATTACAGTTTCCTTAACTAGCCACCAAATAGCCATAAGCATTCCCATACCAAAGCCCTAATTTTTACATAAGTGTTCGAATGATAAATCTTAGCAGGTTTAAGGCCTGTCAGTTTCAATGGAAATTGGCTGATTAGAAAGGAATTATTTGGAGGAATATCTTTTGTTTGCTTTGAAAAAATGGAGAAACATAAAGGGATTTAGAATAGGAATGGCAAAACCTCTGGTACCATCTGGTTTAAAACATTTTGGAGGGTCATTTAAGTGTTTTGATGGGGACGAATTTTATAATCGAAAACGAGCCCAAGTGCTGAGCGAGGAAGGTTCCTCTTCCCGCTCCTGCAAAGGAATTTAGATACTAGTTTACATTAGTATGGTGTCTTATAAACTTTCAAATTTATTAATGTTAATGTGATTTGGTTAATCAAAGGGCAAAGTATAAAAAATTTCCTGACTTTAATTTTTTTTCAATAACTCATTTCCTCTAATTTTTTATCAAATAACCCCCTTGACTTGTAGTCATTTCTAATAAATTCTCCTTATCTAATTTTTTACCAAAGAACCCCCTCAACTATCTAATGATAGAGTGTGAAGGCCCAAGTTTTGTAAACCTGATGCTTCAATGATGACCAAAAGATGACCCGATAATGGATCCGAAATGCGGAAGCGAAAGGTGAAACAACGGTCTCTAGAGATACAATGCGTCTCTAAGACACCAATGTGACCCTCAATGAGGTCACAGAACCCAAAGGAAACAAATGCAGAAGTGTCGCTTCAAAAACGGACAAAAAGAACCTAGGGGCAAAATGGTCATTTTGCAAAAAGTGGATTCAGGTGCTATCGCGCACACCGCTGGAAAGACAATGACAAATTAGTCAAGTTCAAAAAAAATTTACTCAATTTGGAGTCCAGACGGGGGAGAAAGGTCAAAAACAAAAATGATGTCATGGCGGCCCGACGAGGACAACCCACCACTGCTGCAACTGAGAGTAAAAACGGGCATCTAAACGGACTTTTTTGGAAAAACTCAAAGAAGAAACCCCCCTTAAAATCAATTTTCTTACCCCGGTCGCAAACGGAAACAAAAAAAATGTATTGTAAAATGCCCAGAATGCCCCCAAGAAAATCAGGTCAAGTGGGAAAAAAACTAATCCGAGCTACTGCCTAAGTTTTGGAAATAGGGCTTCGGGAGGTTTTTAAATTGCCTAAATTGAAATTGAATCTTAAAATGCACCCACAAGACCTCCGAAAGTTTCGGATCGGTCGTGACGATTTTCAAAAAAAAGTCAATGAATAGTACCAACTACATTTATACTAAAAATTTGCAAAACCTGGCAGCAAGGATTTTTCGAAAAAATATTGATTTTTGAGGGCCAAGATGATGTTTTCTGGAAAAATACAAAGAATAAAACCCCCTCAAAATTGA